GTTTGGCACTTCTTAAGGATGCCCGGGCCCTGCTGCTCTAACTCTGTTCTCAAACTCTGTGCTTGGAGGTAGCACCAAACTGCCTAAACGCATTCGTTTCTCCATGCCAGCAAAGAGATCCCAGCTGTGCACGGGGAAGAAGCTCTGTGTTACCTGCTGTAAAATTTCGCTGCTCATGGCTGAGGGTTTGCACTGTAAAGTCGGGGTTAAATCTGGTCCTGAGATTAAGGTGGAGGAAGAAGTGTTGTGCTACCAAAACCAGGAGTTCCACATTGTGGTCGTGATGATGCTCGTGGGGCTGCCAAGCAAAAAATGGATGTGCGCCCACCTAGAGAGACTTACCCCATTTTGAGAAGGACGGACAGGAGTGTGACACGCGGCAGGGCACCAATTATTTGTGCCCTACCCACGTCCAGGAGGGCCGGGCACACCGTTGGAGGACCGTGCCGCTGCTGGGCTGGGTTTGTGGGGAGCGTGCAGGCGCGTGGGACACTGTGCCTGCGTGCCGAGTGTTGCTGCGTGTGTTAAAAGTGCACAGCCGCCGGGCGCGAAAACGGCGGTGGGGGTGTGCGCAGGGGGGCACCTCTGCCTGTGCGCCCGGGCGGGCGACGTCCCCAGGGGTATCCCTGCGGGTGACGCTGGCGGGTGCAGGGGGCACCGGGGTGCATTTGGGTGCGTGATTTCTCTGGATGGAGTGTGAGTGCTATGGGTGCTCCCGGGGCCGTGCAGGTGCAGGGGCGTCTCTTGGGGTGCTCCCGGGGCCGTGCAGGTGCAGGGGCGTCTCTTGGGGTGCTCCCGGGGCCCTGTGGGCACAGGAGTGTCTCTTGGGGTGCTCCCGGGGCCGTGCAGGTGCAGGGGTGTCTCTTGGGGTGCTCCCAGGGCCGTGCAGGTGCAGGGGCGTCTCTTGGGGTGCTCCCGGGGCCCTGTGGGTGCAGGGGTGTCTCTTGGGGTGCTCCCGGGGCCGTGCAGGTGCAGGGGTGTCTCTTGGGGTGCTCCTGGGCCCTGTGGGTGCGCTGGTCTCTCAGGGTGCCTCTCAGGGTGCTGCCGAGACCATGTGGGTGCACTGGTCTCTCAGGGTGCTCCCGGGGCCATGCGGGGGTGCAGGGCTGTCTCCTGGGGTGTCTCTGGGGGTGCTCGCGGGGCCCTGTGGGTGCGCTGGTCTCTCGAGGTGTCTCTCGGGGTGTCTGTGGGGGTGCTCCCGGGGCCCTGTGGGTGCACTGGTCTCCCGGGGTGTCTGTGGGGGTGCTCTCAGGGCCCTGTGGGTGCACTGGTCTCTCGGGGTGTCTGTGGGGGTGCTCGCGGGGCCCTGTGGGTGCACTGGTCTCTCGGGGTGTCTGTGGGGGTGCTCGCGGGGCCCTGCGGGTGCACTGGTCTCCCGGGGGTGTCTCTGAGGGCAGCCCCTCCCCGCGGGCGGTCTCTCCCGCCGAGCGGGCGGGCGGGCGGGCGGGGGCTGTCGCTGTCGGGCGGCCCCATGGCGCGGGTGCTGCGGGCCCTCAGCCGCCCGCCGCCGCCGGGACGGGTCCCGCTCGTCTCCCGGCGCGGCCGCAGCGACGCGGGGCTCCCCGCCGCCTACGAGGCCTGGCGGGAGCGGGCGGCCCGCGACCCCGCCGGATTTTGGGGGGAGGCGGCGCGGGGGGTGCTGCGCTGGGACAGCCCCTTCCACACCGCCAGCCAGCCGGGCCCGACCGCCGGTACCGCCCGGTGGTTCCTCGGCGGCCGCCTCAACGTCTCCGGTAAGGGCCCCGCATCCCCCCGGGGGATAACCCGAACCCGCCTCAGCCTCCGGGCGGCTTTCCCCTCGTCCTCAGAGCGGGGAAAAGATAAAACCACCGCGAGGATTTCGGTGGGGCGGTGCTCGGCGGGTGTTGGGAAATGCTGGGGAAAGGGGCTTGAAAATCCTTAATCCGGGAGGGGGTAACCCTCATCCTCTCGCCCTGGCTCCTGCGGGAGCCCTGCCGCGACCCCGAGGGACCGGCGGCCGGGCGCTGCTCGGGCCCCAGGTGCCCGTGAACGGGTGAGCCGGAGGGCTGGGGGCGGTGAGAATCCCGGGTTTTTTGACGGGTCAGAACCGCAGCTCCCTCTCTATCTTAAACGAGGAGCTCGGTCGTCTTCTCCAACTTCACCACGCAGAGGAAGGAAGAGTGAAATCTGCTGTGACAGCCCTCTGAGTTTCTTCCTGGCCGTATCTTCCGTGCTGTGGCTCAGCTTCAAGCAGTGGGAGTAAACCCCAGCCCCGTCTAGGGTACGACTTGGAGGTGAAGTCGTTAAACAGGGACGCGCGTCTCTTGCCTTCGTTTCCCGTTCCCGGGAGCGTGCTTGAATCACCAGCTCGGTCGTGCAGGAGCCGTAGCATTTCTGGTCACCTTTTTTTTTCGCAGAGGAGCAAGCCCTCCTCAGGCCTTCCAGAGACCGTAGGGCAGCGTCTCCTCCCGGGAGATGATTCCCAGCAGTGGCTCCCAAGTGGGTGGAGGTGTGTGACAGCCCTGCTTCCAGCACCCAGCAAGCAGGGGGGTTTTAGCCAGACTTGTGTTTTCATTGAGTCCTGTTGAAAGGAGGATCTTGGCTGAGCACGGAGACTCTCAGGGATCTGTTTCTCTCCTCTGTACAGTAGGATCAGCATCATCCGGATCCCGCTTGGGTCAGGTGTCTGAAATCCAGGTATTGCCGGGCCTGGTTTTAGATCATGTCTTGGGTCTGGTTCTTCAGCAGACACTAAATGCCACTTTGTTTTCTTTGCATAGGTAAAAAGAAATTGTAGACTTCTGGAACATAGATGCACAGTATTAAAGAGTTTTGCTGTTGCTGGTTTTCTTCTTTTAAAGCATGATGAAGATAGTAGCTGGCCACAGTGGCTGGTTTTCTGCTGGGAGGCTGCGGTTTTGTCCCTTTAATTCTCAGTTTGAACACTGGTTACAGAAACATGGCAACAGTTCAGGTCCCCAATCCAGAGCATCCTGTGTGCCCATCTCCCAACACAGCTGGACCACAGGCAGCCGAGGTATTGGCTGCTTTTTGCGTGGGGAGACCTCCGGTAGGATTTGGGGGAACCATGAGCTTCAGTGCTTCTGGGTTTATTGCACTGTTACTCCTGGCCAGGAGAATAACCCGACCAACTACCGCATTTCCAGCCAGAGCACTGGGTTCTCAGAAGTGTGTCTAACCAAAATGAATCATTTCCAAGCATTGCTGGGGAGGCAAGAAAACATATGGAGGAACCATTAGGGCATAGTAGTAAGGGGAAGGTCACTAAATTCCATTTTGTAAAATGAGCGAAAGGCTCTTGTAAGCCTCAGCTCAGGAAGGAAATAATAGCCTTTGGCTCTGGTTCACCTGCTGGTTCTTACTGGGCAAAGAGCTAAAGCTCTCACTTGGCTCAGCTGGGGCTTGGTGCAACAAATTCCCTCTGAAGGCTAGTACAGCTGCTCACGAGTAAGAAATGCTGCTTGGGCAACAAAGCCCGGTTAAGGTGATTTGCTGTAGTGTGGCGCAATACGTGGGGGTGTTGCTGCAATGAGCTGGGAGGTGGGAGTTGCTAAGGGTTGCGGACCAAGCTGCGGATCCAGTTACCTGCGGATGGACAGCAGAGGAACCCGAGGTCTAACTGCTGAAAGCATTCCCCATTAGAGCTTTTGTCCTCCCGTATCATATTAGGATGGCCTGAGAAATGGCTTTATCTCCTTTATAGTATTGCTGCACGAATTTACATGAAAAAGACTTTAAACATCTGAAGAACACTTTTTTGTTTTTTTTTTTTTTTGAGATTGACAGTTGTTCTTGTGATGAAATATGGTGAATTCTGGGGGGGAATTTCTCTCCCTCCGCACTTTTAGGGGCTCATTCCCACCCTCTGTGTGGTGGTACCAATCATCTGTGATCACAGGACAGCTGAAGCTGACTCCCCAGCTCCAGTTGACTTAAACTTCACAAACTGTGACAGCAATAGGCAGTTTTCATTGCACTTCATTTATCTAGAAAAATGAAATCCTTCCCCACCAGTATTAACATTTCCAGAAATATGATCTGAAACTCAGCAATTTTTTTAAGGGTTTTCTCTGAGTTACACAGCACGAGTGTGTGACTGGTTTTTAATAGTTGTCTGCTGAAATAAAGTAACTGCTTTTGAAAGGTTATGGAATACGCAAGCGTGGTTTAGACTTGGAATTAATACTTTACAAGGTTAGTCTTGTAACCATCAGGCAAGTTGCTACTGAACATGCGTGCAGATTTCTTGGGTGGATTCTCCTACAGTTTCTTCAGGGTGGGTGCTCTCCCTAAGTCCACTTGAGCACCTCGCGTAGTTGTTCAGGTATTGTCTACCTCAGGTTGTTGGATTGGAGAGATGCACCTTCAGAAGGTAATTCTATACCTTTAAGTTTTAGGAGGTATAGTACACAGCTTGAGACATGTTCATCTTTCCCAGATGTCTGGTAATGTGTAGATGTCTGTACTCTGTGAGTTTACCCTACATCATAGAGTTTTGGATATTTTCAGTTAGCGGAGATTCAGGTCTTCTGTGACACCCTGGAATAAAAACGTTTCACATGAGCTTTAATTAGAAAATTCAAACTATGCAGCGCTAAAAATGCAACCTGGGGAAGACGGTCTGTCAGATCTGTGTAGTGAAATTCTGCTCTGGGGAGCAAAACCATCGGAAGAGTGTCTTGTCTTTGTGCTTCTGGGAGCAGGGGAGAGATTTGGGCTGGTTTAAGCTTAGCCAGTGGAGCTAAGCTGAGCTGAATCAGCCGAGGCCTCTCGTGGGGATGCTATCTCTAAGGCAGCTGTACCAGTTAAGTGTAGTATTTGCATGCCACAGATATGACAAAGGACAGCTTTACCAGTGCTTACAAGTGATATCACTTCCAGTGTTACAAATGAGTGTGTGGCTAGCTAGCTAACAAGTGATGGTTCATCTTACTCTAGCTTGCTGTTATGCTTGACTAAGCCAAGTTTACAGAGCACTTTGCGTATTAAACTTTGTTTAAACCTCTGTTTTCTGACAGTAAATTGCTTGGATCAACATGTCGAAAAGTCTCCGAACAGAGTGGCTTTGATCTGGGAGAGGGATGAGCCTGGCACTGCAGTGCATGTCACGTACAGGTATGGCACCTTCTCACGACGCCTTGTGATGCCTGGCAAAGGGGTGGGGTGGGGAAGAGCTGCCGCTTTGGAATCCGACCTCTGTAAAACTGCTTTCTTCCAAGGTACTCCAGCACCTCGGACATACCGCTGCAGCAGCGTGGCTAGGTCGTGGTATCGTGATGAGAGAGCTCCTGAAAAAGGGAGGCATGTTCCCACCAAGAAATTACATTCTTCCCTTGGGTTCTTCATGGAGGGGGCTCCCTGATCTTAGACACCTGTGTAATAAACATGTTAGAGGGTGAGAGGGACAGTGGATGTAAGTTAGGGACAGCTGCTGAAAACTTCAGATTGAGATCTGGTGTCACCTTCTGGTTATGGCGTCAATCTGACTGTGGATTCCGTCTCTCTAAGTGGGGACTTTTAGAAGAGAAAAGCTTGTTTTTCCTCCCTGGCTTAGCTCGTTGGACATGGTCACGGGAAAATTTCTGCGAGCAGCTTTCGGTTTCAGCACAGCAGCAAATGTCTTGGTGCAAACACCTTGTGTTGACGGTCAATAGCATGATGCCGAGTCCTGGCTGGAGGGGATTTGAAGCTCCCTGTGTTCCTCTAACCCATCCTCAGTGCAGTTTGGAGCGACCTTGGGACTGCTCTGAGTGACACCGACTTGCAGTTGCCGCTATAGATTGTAGCGTTTGTTAGAATACGGCAGTTTTCAAGTGCATTTCTCTTGTCCCTGCCGTGTGCCCTCATTTAGCAGACAGACCTGCCTGCATCATCTGTCTCTAGTGAGAGTTAAAGGTTTCCCAGACTTGTGCGTTCCTCAGTGCATATTTTAGGGAGCCACATGTTTGATCTACTGGATCAGAAAGCAGAGGAGACATAGGAAGTCCTGGCATCTGGCTCTTTTACAAAATGTTTTCTGTAGCTTGTTGGAAGTTGGGATTCCTGGAGCTCATTGGGTCTAAATACGTTCTGGTGGTCTGGTTCACCTACAGAATTTATTAAAGCTCCTGAAAACATTATTCATTGGAATGAGGAAGCTGGTCAGCAGAGAGAAGTGGGTGTACAAATAGTTTTGAGAGGTTAGTGCTCTGTGCGACAGAAATAAACACTACCTGATATAAACCTGTGGAAAAAGTGGATTGGTTTTGATCTTGGTATTGCTATTTGGCAGGCTGTGTAGGCATGTTATGGTATAAATGTGCTGTAACCAACCTGGTAGCTTGGCTAAATGCTTTGAGTTTTGATTTTGCCATTCTGGTGGTAGAAAAGGAGATGGAATTGAAGGTTTCTCCCAGAGGTTGGGGTGGTGTCTGTACTTCTACCACTCTCTTCATGCCCCGGGTGTGAAACTTGGGGGTTCGTTTGGCGGTGGGAACTGTGCTCTGATTAACCTGAGAAGGAGAGCAGCCTGTCAGATAGCACAACCTCATTCAAGGCAACTCTAGCCTCCCTCTTAGACTGTGATACTTGAAACATGCTGAGCTGCTCCAGACCCTCAAACCATCTTCTCTGGAGATCTGAGAAGGCCTTTCAGAACAGCAACAGAACTAGTTTTTTCTTTGCCATGCCAGAATGTATTTGGAAGAAAGCACATTTTCAGCCTGTGGATTTATGATTGCTGTGGCTTGAAGACAAGTAACCCACATCTGAAAGCTGAATCCCTCTGTGCAGCGTTACAAAGATATGGCAACTAGCAACCAGAAGGAAGAACATCCAAGTGAAAGACAAGTTGGCAACATCTATTTTTGAACTTCTGCTTGTATCTGAGAGCCTTGTTCCTGTTTCTGCCTGATACTCTTGGTGAGATGTGACTACATTCAAGTGACACAGTTTCCCAAGAGACTTTGGTCATATGATGTTGTAAACAGGTCACTTGGTTCTCAGTTTATCTCATTAAGTCAGGAAAAGCTTTGTTGAAAACACTGATATTACGTGGGTGTGTACACAAGGAGAGAATCAAAAGTTTTGCCTTTTCTCTGATCTCCGGGCAGCATTTTTAAAGGTTTTAAATGGGGCAGTAAGGTTTTCCAAGAGGTGTTGGCACTGAACCTCCCTTTGAGGGTAAGCTTAGTTGAAAACTTTTTGCGGTAGCGTCTTGTTCTAGCTAGAAGTTTTGTGAATGAAAGCATATAAAGGTAAGAGGTGGTCCAGAAGCTGTGATGCTGGTTGAGTAATCTTTCGAGAGCCTTCTGTAGCAGTGTGGTCTCTGCATGCCAGCCTCGGTGCTAAACAGCCCCAGCCTAGAGAGGGAATGAGAGGGATGCTGGATATCAGGAGGAGCCAAGCTCTAGTGTTAGTGGCGGAGGAGACAGGCCCCTTTCCTTAGGATCTGGATGTGCTGTTAATGGGGCAGTGGCGTTAAAGTCGTGTGCTAGGGAGGTGGAGACTTTAATTTAGCCACTGCCTTATGGGTCGGCTTTGAGGAACATCCTGGGATCTCAGCTGGGATGTGTCCAGGGCTTACGTGCAGAGAAGTACAGCGCACTGGGTTTTTGCAGTAAGCTACTTTGCAAAGCTTGGTACTGTGGGCTGCTGCTGCTTCTAGGTAAGTCCTGGGTTGCACAAGGAAAGACTTGGATGCTGGTGCGGGGGCTCTCCCTTCTCCTCTGGGGAGCTGCGGCGGGGGAGAAGCAGCTGAGCGCCGGTTCCCGTCACAGCCTGTGGAGGAAGCAGGTGGCCGGGCAGGAAAAGGGCTGGAACAGGCTTCCTCCTCCCCGAGGAAGGGGAGAGCCTGGATCTGCGGGGCCTCTGCCGTGCGCTGGCAAGAAACACAGCTACCGTGGGAAGTGCTGCCCCAGCTTCATCATCGCTGGGAGAAGTAAGAGCCTCAGTTTGCCTCTGGTGCCCCGCTCAGTGCCGAGCTTGCAGCAGGGAAAGAGCCGCTGGACGCCAGCGACATCCCTACGCACGCGTGTCAGCGAGGTGGGTTGTGTTTATGCAGCTGAGTTCAAGTGCTCTGTGCTAGGAGAGGAATCCAAAGGTCTCCTTATTGGCAAAGATATACGAAGCCACGGGTGAGACATTTCAGTTTTGGTTGGATGGTGATCACTGCCCTTACAAGCTCAGTTGTGATGACCTTTTTCACTGATGAATTTTGTCCTGTCTCTCCAGCTGATGCAACTCAGCCCTTCAGGAAAAAAAAAGTTCCCTGACTCCTCTTGTGCTTTTTCCCCACTCTGAGTTTTATTTTTATCAAGTAGAAATTCAGCTAAGTGTCAAATTATCTCCAGTTTTGGATGAGAAGGCAGGAGATTTGCTTTTTTACTGCTTTGTGACAACAGGGCACGCAACCCTCCCGGGATTTGGTGGCTGCAGTCATCAAAGTGGCGACAGCTCATGGCAGTCTGTTATCAAGAGGTCTGGCTCTCTGGAGCTAAACCAGCATAAACTCATTGGTAGGGCAGTGGTGAAGCAGCAGTTAACCCACAGGAGCGTGCTGCTCTCAGCAGCCAGCTGAATTTATTGGCAGAAGGATCCAGTGTGGCTGGGAGTGTTTTGTCCAGCACTGTGGATGCTGTCAGGGCCCAGGAGCTTTGAAACCTTGCAGAGGAATTCCCCAATGCACTGCTGAGCCTGGGTTTTAAAGGGCACTATATTATCAAGTGCCTTATATAAGCAGGCAGATTGGTGGCTGGAGCTGTTGGGTTGCAGCCTCTCTAAGCTCAGCAACAGGGGATGGTAAGGACGGCAGCTAAAGTTATGCCAGACCTCCCCCTGTCCAACACGGGGGTTATTTATTCTCTCTCCTGTTCCCTTGTTTACCACTGTCTCTACAGTTGAGCCACCTGTGAGTCAGTGTTTCCTAGCACTGCAAAATCCGATGGGTATTGCCAAAGGGAGCTGTGCAAAGGAGCAGGCAGCAGTGGGTGCGAGCTAACCTGTTTTGGCAGTGGGTTGCAGGCTGGGTCTCCATGGAAGGCTTTTCATTTATGAAGAATCTCACTCTGGTGCAGAAAACGCTGCAGGCAGATGGAATGTTCAAAATGCAAGATACAAAGTAGGGAGAGGAAAGCAGAAGCTGAGGAGTCAGAAGTTAGGGTCCTAGGTAGCTTTTCGTGGGGTCCTAGGTTGGTGGGAGAGAAGTGGTTGGACATCTTTGTTAGCCACATCACATCGATGCCTTTAATAAACCAACAGATGGTGGTTCCTCGGCTTGAGCTGAAATGGCTGAAATGATATTAGAGAACACAGTGCAGACCACAGCTGGAAGGCGAGTGGGTGCTCAGCAGGCTGTGCAATGCTCGTTGACAGCAAACGCTTCTCCTTCTTTCCAGTGTTGGCTTCCTAAGTTGAAGTTGCAAGTGCATCTTGGCCAGGCTTTTGGCTTTCCCCCTCCAAGGCAGCTGAGGGACTTTTCACTTTCTCACTTGAAAAAGGTCACAAGGGGTTTTCCTTGCCTTGGGTTCAGGATGTCTGCAGGAAGGCTGGACAATTGGGCTTGGCTTAGCAATTGAACCTACAGCCAAAAATCCTCACATTGAGCTTTATGTTTTTTCAGTTATTCTCACTAAAGTGGAGAAACTGTTGAGTCTTCCTTTTGGTGAAAAAAGGAAACACATGTTTTCTCTATTTAGCAAAAGGTGAGGGAAATGGAGGGTTAAACCGAGGCACTGTCACAGAAGCTGCAGTACATTAGTGCAATAGGCTCGTGCATTATCCTCGTGGCCAGAACACTGACCCAGGAAGAAGAGATGGGTGTGAAGTCCCAGGGGACTTGGACCCACATCTCAATCGACAGTACCCACGGCACGATGATCACAGAGGTATAGAGGCAGGCTTTGAACTCCGCTGCTCGTCAGTGATTGATGTAGAGCAGCAGCTAGGAGGTGAGATATGAGAGATGCCCAGATCTGGGTTTCTTCGGGGTTTTTTGTTTTGTTTTACACTAACCTGTTTGGGGCATTTGACCTGATTTTTCAAATTGTTTCATCCTGATCCAAACTGTGGTTCCAGGAGATAAACTGGTCGCTGCAAGAAATACTCAACCCGGCTGTAGTGCTGAGACAGCAGAGAAC